TTTACAATTTGACCAGATTTTTTGCTACGATTTCATTAAACCCGCGTGATGCAATAAGCTTGTCAGCATTTTTAAATATATTTTAGAAATGTATTAAATGTAAACAACTATCGGAAGTACAGTTTCCATGAGCCTTTTAAACCACCTGCAAATATAAAACAAACCAACAAACCTCACACTTTTAATGTGTTAAACTCAGCGCAAAAATTGTTTGAACCCGAAAAAGAAGCTTGGTATATTGTAAATTATGTACACTTGCATTAAAGCGTTTTCAGTAGGCCTATTTATTCACAATTTACAAGATTTTACAACAACAAAAACAAATTCAAATTACACCGACTGACTCACATGTTTACAAGCATTAAAACTGGAAATCAATTTAAGTTGCAGCCTAGAAACTTTTTTTTTTAAACACATCTTCCACACCGCCCTCCATTTATTATACGGTTCCCTCTTTAAACAGGTTTTCAGGATCCCTCAAACACACCGCTGGTGCCTTTTAATTCCACAGAAAAAGTCGGAAAAAAAATAACCTTCAAAATGCACCAGCCTTCACGGATTATAATTTAAATCGTGTCAAAACTTGGCATGCTCTGTTCCAGAGAGCAAAAGTAAATCGGATGCGCTTTCCTTTAGCTCGGACAGACATAAATCCATCACTGAGAGAAAATAAAAATAACAATAAAAAAGTTTGTTCAAAGTGATTGCATTTTTATGGCTATAACCGCCTATAATTTACAATTCATCAGCAGCCTGCGCCCACATCTAAGTTTTTAAATATTTGGTTGTGGTTTGTAGTGCTTATAGTACATTTAGAGATTTAAATATGAGTCAGGGGAACCGTCCCGTTTACCGGAGTGGAGCCGCTGCTCTGGTAGTGCTGCGGGTGGAGCACGTGCAGTCTGCTATGAACGGGGGACTCCCCCGCCGCCTCTCCGGTCGGCAAATACATGCTGATCATGTCCCGCAGGTCCCCCGTAGGGCACGGCGGTGGTGCGCGTGCGGTGGAAACCGGGGGGCTCACGCTAGGCTCAGATTTCACAAGGGACCCCAAAGTCCCTCCGATCGCCCCGGACACTGGGGAGACACCGGAGCTTTGGTGCTGGTGAGTGTAGCCGGTGATCCCGCCGTAGCCCGGCGGAGAAGCGCTCATGTAGCTCTGAGAGTTTGAGATGGGGCTGTAAGATAAGGCGCTCATGTCATACCTGTGCACGGGCTGCGGGTTGTGCGGGTGGTGATGCGGGTGGTGATGCGGGTGCGGGTGGTGCGGGTGAGCTCCGGTGCCTGGGTGTTGCGTGTACGCCAGCTGCGCCTCCTGCATCATCGCGTGAGCCGCCGCCGCTGCAGCCGCCACCTGGCCCGAGTATGTGCCGTTAGCCCAGCCGTTCACGTGCGTGGCGTAGCCCGCATTTGCCCCCGCGTGCCCCCCACCAGGGCTCTCCAGCCGCTGCCCGCCGCCCATCCCTACACCCGCAGGTGAGCCGAGGAGCCCGCCGGCCAGAGAGTACTTGTCCTTCTTCAGCAGCGTCTTGGTCTTCCTCCGCGGCCGGTACTTGTAGTCCGGGTGTTCCTTCATGTGCATGGCCCGGAGCCGCTTCGCCTCGTCGATGAATGGTCTCTTCTCCGCCTCGGTCATCACCTTCCACTCTGCACCCAGCCGCTTGCTGATCTCCGAGTTGTGCATCTTGGGGTTCTCCTGTGCCATTTTCCTCCGCTGGCCCCGGGACCACACCATGAAGGCGTTCATGGGTCTCTTGATTCTGTCCTGGGGGACCTTACCACCGGGGCCCCCGCCTCCTCCTCCCGCGTGTCCCCCCGGGTTGGATGGGTTGGTCTGGGGCACCACGGGGGAATGTAAGTCCGTTTCCATCATGATGCTGTACATTCACCTCGTCTTTGTAGGACAACACTTCTCAGTCAAACACACAGAAACATTCAGGCTGGCCCGCGCGCAGCTAAACCTCCGAGGAAGAGACAGATGAAGAGTGAAAGACACGGAGGGAGATGAAAAGGTGCTCAGGATGAAATCCACTCAGAGGTAAACTTGCTCCTCACTTCCCCTTTTCGCCTTTTTTCCTGTCATCCGCGAGCGCAGCGAAGAATAGAAACCAGTTGTTGGAGCTTACTTTGGTTGAAGCTGTACTGGGAAAAGTTACCAGAGCGTGCCCGGGCCGCGCGCTTTGACAGCAGCTAAATGAGCGAGAGACGGCCAATGGAGAGGCTCGAGTGGAGACGTGATTTGCATGCTCGAGGTTCTGGTGACGTCGGAGCGCGAGACCTAAAAATTACTCCCTCTGTCATCTGTTTTGCGTGTGTAGCTGGTGTGTGTGGCAAAAAAACACACAACATATAAACAGTTTAATTCCCATAATTTTGCGCATGACCTACACAGAGTCTGTGCGCTCTGATATTTCACTGCAAAGAAAATATAAGTTTAATGAGAACGACATTGGCTCCAGCGCAACAACAGATATGTTACAAGTAAGATGAATTTAATCAAAATAAAGTAAATATGGAAGCTGTTGAAAAAAGCAGAATGATTCATCAGAGCTTTAATAATCCTATCATCTTCATCATCACAACTACAAGCACAAATGTTCCCAACTGGGTACACAATATTTACATTTAAAATAGGCTGTTCTCTATATTCACAATGTACGGGAGCTAATTTAGGAGCATAACTACAAGCACTCAAGTAGCCTTTTAAGCTCATTACCAAATCAGAAATAGGGTATATAATTTATAGATATAATTATCTGTGGGGTAAGGACTATATATTTTAAAAAAATTCTCCCTGGTTTTTGTCAAAGGGCTCCACCGCCTCCTATTCAGAGCCACAGGTGCTTTTCTGTTGTGCCCGTTGCTAGGAAACAGGTGACTGACGCCCGGAGCACGTGCCATTCAAAGCGCCCCTTTTGTTTGTTTCACCAAAGCTGAGGGAGAGCACGAGAGAAAGAGGGAGAGATTTAACCCCTCCTAGAAAAACTACTGTAATCCTATAATAAATGTTAGAAATATATATGTTGTTCATGATAACGTTTTAATAATGTAATGAAATATGATGTGGGCGCCATAAACCTGCAGCTGCGGGCCTGCTGCAGGAGGCCTGAGACCACTTACATGCTCCTGTTCTTATAATAAGGATCAAGGACAATTCTGCCAAGCAGTTCTCCTGAAAGATATAATTTTATTGAGTCTGGAAAGGAGAGTTTGCTGTTGTCAAAAAATACCTGTGGTATTAAACTGTTAAAATATATTAAATCTATTTCTATTCCCGCGTCTGCTACTCCTACTGCCAATAATATTAATATTACTAATACACATAGACCGAAATTCCCAAGAGCTTTTTGTCCACAACATTCAGATATTCAGTTTACAATCATACAAGACAAAGGGACCCAGACAAACTGAACACTTGAGTATCTAAAACCAGCAAATATTTCGTGTTTTGCTCAAGAAATAATTCAGAAAATTCATCCATCATCACAGTAGTTGCTGATTATTATTTTTGTTGACCCACTAATCATTGCACCTCGTTATTTTACAGTTGCTCTGTTGAAATGTTTTAATTTCCTTGCATTTGGCTCTAATGAAAAGAAAGGAAGAGATATATATTTGATTTAACGTTGCGATTTGTCATTTGGTATTCCAGTCTCCTCCTGCTTCACTGGCTTCCCGTCATGTGGAGGATCTTTTCAGCCCTCTGGGATTATGCTCCCAAGTGGCATCTGTCAGGTGCGGCCCGCCTCTCAGCGAGCTGTAAACTATATTGGCATGCTGGCATGGCTGGATTTTCCTCTCGCTCCCTTGTACCAGTCGGCTATAGTGCTGCTAAGTGGCTTGTATGATCTGTTTTACTCACAATCTCCTCTTCTTTCTGCCTTTTTGCATCCGGCACAGAAACACATGGACACACAGAGACAAGCACATTGGATCTCTGAAACGTACAACATATCATGAAAATTTAGCAGTTAGTCCTTGAGGTGGAAATCAAATCAGCGAATGGGCAGAAATATTTCACATTGACTAAATAATAATGTCTTGTCCGTGAGCACACTTTGCTCAGTGTTCTAATGTGCTGTCTATTCATCTATTGATTCATGTGCCGAGACTTTGTGGCATTGTGAGTCTTATTGAATTTACTCTCAGTCTTGAGACATTTTATAGATTACTGAATTAACAGCTGATATGGAGAATTAAGATTTTCAGGGACATTCATTTACAACACTGTCTCGGACATGTTGACCTTTGAGAGTCGACGCCTGTGTGTTGGCTTTGTTTGATAAGTGAACAGAAAGAAGGACACCACCGTCATTGGCTCTGTCACATCATAGCTCTTTGTATTTTATTGTTTTCTCGGTTCATGTGCGATGCTTTTTGCCATGCTGATTTACTGCAGCCGAATTACACTGTTGAGGAAATGAGGGTCTCAAATGCCTCCTGATGAGCTGAGTGTAGTGGCCCTATTTGTGAATTTTGACCACCAGGTGGTTCATACAAACCATTGCACTTGTGTCTTGACCAATTTTACAGTGTTTAAGAGTGACGATGGCATAATCAAAGCTTGTTTACATTAGTGATAATGGTTAATGATTATTTTCATTGTTGATTATTTTATTGATTAGTTGTTTGGTCTATAAAATATAAGAAAATGGTAATTTTCTGTTATAGAGGAGCAAACAAACCAGAAATTATTCACATTTAAGAAGCTGAAATCAGAGAATTTTGACTTTTTTTTCTTAAAAAATGTCTCAAACCAAATAATTGATTGTCAGATAGTTAATGATTAATTTAATAGTTGACAACCAGGGGTGTCATTCTGCTGGAAAGACAATCCAACACTTTTTCCTCCAAGTGAGGAAATAGAATATTTGTAGTTCACATTATGTGGTTGAAATCCATGCACATTTTTTCAGTGCTTGAACAGGAAACAGGACAGAAAAGTTGGTTACGTAACCTTCAAAATGACCCACTATAATTAAATTGCACGACACCCCTGATGATAGTAAACTGATTATTTGTTGCAGCTCTAGTTTACATACATATCCAAAGTGCAATTACAAAATGATTGAGACAGTAATTCAGACAAATCAAGCAACACATGAGAGGTGCTCTGATTTTAATAGTACTGATTCAGTATCGCGTTTTTAAAAAAGTTGCATGTTTCTTCTGTGTTGTGGAGAGAGAAGGAACTGCAGTCTGTACTGGGTTGATCAAAGTCTATTTAAAATCATATTTAGTCATCCTTCTTTGCAGTCAGATATAATGTAAACAAACATGGGCAGACAGTGTGTGGTTAGCAGCATCTAAAACAGAAGAAGTACAGGTGTGTTTACATGCTGTTCAATGTGATGCAGCTTATTGGCCATCTAGTGTTTGTTTGGTTGCTTGTTCAACAAGCTGATGTGCTCATAAGTTACATATGAAGGAGAGGAGGCAGGCTGCTGTCTGTCTGTGGGACATGGGACACATGATTTAAAGAGAAGTAGCAGACAGAAGTTGGATAGTAAGATGGTATTTTTGTGCAGAGTTTCTGAGTTTATCCATTCAGTGTCTCTGTAGCTGGATGGTGACACATCAGATGGAGCTCCATGACAGGTTCTGCTTCTGCTCCAGATCAATGAAAGCCTGCAGGACTGATTGTTCCCAACTGTGTCCAAACACGCTGTTCTGCTGGGGGTGATTTCGTCTTCCCACAGAGTTTCCCTGAAGAAGTTTGTAAAGCAGAGATTTCCATATCTGCAATAAAACAGTATCTTTGATAAAGCTGAAAAGAATTGATAGCAGCAGGGACAGGAAACACAATCAGAAAACAATAACTCTTCTCTGTATTTAAATATGCACAGATATCAAATACTGACAAACCCAGCTAATGCAGGTCAATACATGGCATCATTTATAACTGTCCCCTAATATCTCATGGTACAACAGAGTTAAATAGTGTGATTGGGTTATTTGGGTTAATTTTATCCTGCTTTTGACAAATGTTTGCCTCTAGAGAGTAAAACTGTTAAATAATAATTTCGACTCGTCAGACCTCTTAAAATCCTTAAAATAAGTAACTTGCAATATTTTTTTTGCCTCTTAACTCCACGAGTTTAAGCACAGCCTGTGTGGTAGTTAAAATAAAATGAACAAGTAACCCACATGTTGTAGATATTCAGCAGGCAGCAGTGTAGGGCCAGCGTAGCCTAACTGGAAATACCCAGAGAGAACTGTAACAGGTATTGTGTGGAACAGGACAGCCAGTGGACCAATGGGACAGTGCTGGAAACACTGCATGCACTTCTGCTGCTCTGGGTTACTTTGACTTAACCTTGGTTTTAAGGGGTTATTTGGCTTTTACTGCGAATTGCAGACAAGTAATGTAACCTTGTGTACGCTGTGTCTGAGCTACACTTAAGTTCTTTGTAATATAATGTTAATGATGCCATGTAGATAATGACCCTATCAAAGTCTTACCATTCAGGTGAATACAGTCAAAGATAAAATAGAAAATTTGAAAAACATAACAACAAAATGCAGATCATATCAGTTAAAATAACCCACAACATAAATTAAATTATTGAAGTTGAATATAAGAATTCCCCAGTAGTAGATATAAATCCTAAAAAAAAGTCAAAATTGTGTGAGCTGCAAAATAAATCTATTTAAATTAATAACTTATACAAAATATATAAATAGTTATTGTTGTTAATATAAATTCTAAGAAGTTAATAGCTTGGGTCAGTTACGCTCATCAATGAAATTGTTTGGCAGCACCAGGTCTTTGCCACTCAAAAAGCAACTTCCAGTAGACAGGTCTAATTGCTGGTGTTCTGTATGAGATATTCAGAGCATTAGTATAGCAGTAAACCATGTGAAGATACCATGACATAATGGACACTATCAGTGTGTGTTGCAGTCTGAGCTGCTCTGTGGTTTGTTGTGGTGAGCAGGTCCGGCTGAGCATGCATGTTAGTGCATGTGTGTATTCCACTTGCCAGCTCATGCAGCTGCTTTGCACTGCGCTTAAACAACGGGTACTGCTAATATAGGGATGGTGTTGTCGCTGAGGCGTAGCGCCCACCCTCCACTTCCCCCTGGTTAACACTTTGTCCTGAGCTGTGAACATTTTTAAAAGCTGTTGGCTTTCAAATGCATGCATGAGTCATGTATTTGCAGTTTTAGCTCACACATATAAATAACCCATACAAGTCAAACCATCATTCTATAGGTGGAAGATCACTCTTGATCTCTGGGTGCAATATATGGTGAAGAGAATCCAGACGCATGGTCTTTTACTCAGTGAACCATGAGATGAGGTGGAAATCTCCAAATCATAAATAAGTGGACCTTTGAGCTTAGATTCTCTTCAGCATATATTGTTTCAAACACACTTTTTTAGCATAAACCAAAGGAATTATATTGAAAAAAAAAGGACAAATTGAATTTTTCGAAACTCAGTGTAACCAAACTGCCACCAAAAGTCAGAGACATCAGAACTAAACCAATCATGTTGATCAATACATATAATCACGCCTTAGCTATCACTACTTTGTTTTTCTCAACACACACTCATGGACATAGCACAGGATCAAAGAGTGCTTGGAGATAAACACAGCAATAAGGATGTTCTTCACATCTTCACACTGCTATTAGGCCTGAAATCTCTAAGCCAACAGGCCACACACACACACACACACACACACACACACACACACAGGCCTAATAGAATCAAAGGCATTTCTCCTGTGCAGCAGCCGACCTAGTGGGTTTGTTTAAGGCTCTCTGTCACAGCAAGCTGTCAGCTCTACTGGAGCTCAGCCTTACAGACAGAGCAGGAAGCACACTAACACACACATGCATGCATACAGTACATACATACAACAACAAGCTATGACATATGTCACATTAAGTGCTCAGAAATACAGTCAGGCCTTCTGAACTTTAAATATGACCCACAGCACTCACACAGCTGATGATGAAAATAGTCATTAATAGTACTGCAACAGTATTTTGTTGAAACTGAAAGGTTTTTTTCATGTAAAGACAACTTTTCAGCATATCTAATAATATTGGTAGAGCTGAGATTACGTTTAATAGAAAATTGGATCAGTAGTCTCTTGGCAAAATACTGTATCTTCTGAAAGCTCTATGTTCTCTCCATTCATAAAGGAATGAAACACATTTGTCAGAGATCAGCTCAGTGTAATTTCTATTGCTGTGTATTTTGTCACTCAAGGTATTTCTGCTGTGAAGGGAGAGCTGTTACGTTGTGATCTGACTTTTATACATTGACTTTGACTTTTTGACATAGTGTGACTTTGTAAATGACACTTTATACTATGACTTTTTTATTACATTTTTTCTGACATACCACACCATTTTTTTTGTGAAATACTACACTATGACTTTTTTATGGCATACTTTACTATGGCTTTTCTCGACATACCATACAATGACTTTTGTACTACTACTCTGATGTTGTAGCAGACCTCCAATATGGCTCTCACCTGTGTTCATTGCAGGTGGAGGAATACACTGCACTGACAAAAAGCCCAACACAGAAGAACCTGGACAATATGCGCACACAGAAAACACCTGATGAGAAGAAGCTGGATGGCTGTGAGTTCTGCAACCAACATTTTTTTTAATGACACACTGTATTGTGAATTTTTGTGACATTTTTGGCATGTCTTTTTTATGAAATCTTCATGGCATGCTGTATTATGAAAACTTTTACGACAGTATGGCTTTATCTCCAGATGGATTAACGTAGGCAGTGCTCAAAACACAGATTGGACGATGTAATTGCTAACGCTGGTACCATAATGCACACGCTCTGGTCAACACCAATATAGGGGGCACTATCACTGCAGAACAGTTAAATTTCTTCTTCTTGGTAAGCATAAATAGTCAAAACAAAGACATCTATTCTAATATCTTAAAAATGCTAATATTTTTTCTCAGTTAAACTTCAAGCACACATTTAAATTGCACCATGTAAGCTCAATATTCACTGAAATAATAAAGGCCTTAAAACTACCTTTCAGTAAAAAATTCTGGCCTATTTCTAAGTCAGGTGCCTCTTCATCGTTGCGACCCTGACCCATATGAGCTGCTATGAAAATGGATGGATGCCTAAGCATGTTCAAGTTTTTAGTGCATCACAGATCTCAAACTTGGTGGTCGTGTTCCATTCATCTGGCGCCTGCTGATACTCTGAGCTTTGAAACAGGAACAAAGTCTGTGAATTCCTAAATTGAGTGCAATTTAATGATGATTAATGGGAGCCAATGCGAATGAATTCCCTTTGCTCCAACAGCATTTGGAGGCATCATCAAGCTTTGACTTCAAGGTTTTGAAATTCACTTTCTTTAATAACTTCCATGAATAAATTAACCAGTTGCAGCCATCTACACGGAGACTAACATCATCTTTCTTCCATCCATTTTCCCCCACTTTAAAGTGTCAGAGTAAAGTGGCCTGGTGTACCGAACACTGTTAAGCATTTGCACTCATCATTTAATCATCGCACCTCGTCCTTTGATTGATGCCTAATGAATGCCCGGGGTCTCGGTTTACAAGACGATCGCTAACAGAGCCTTGCTAATGGGTTTTGCCTGTCTGCCAGACAGCCCAGGCTTTAGGCAGAGAAGTCTGCGTTTACACCAGAGCTTCAAGACTATTTATTCTGTCATTTCTCACACAGATGTAACATACTTAGAGCTGTTGTAACAGACAAAACCAACCCAACAATATATATATTCTGAGCTGCTCTTTCTTGTTGTGGAGAGCACATCCATGTTCACATCAGTTCTGTGTGTGCTGAAAAAGGGAAGTTCAGCATTGAGCTCCCAATGTAAATAAGCTCTTAGTCATTTTCAACAGCATCTCTCACCGAGTACTTTTGCAATTAGCAGCCACATCACTCATCGCTAGTAGGCTCCAGCTATAATGGTCTGAAACTAGTGGGAGAAAGATTGTTTTTATGTCTTAAAAAACAGTGCAGACATGGACCAAATCATGAGTGCTACATATCACTCACTACACAGCAAATGCTATCGAAGTATTGATGACTGAGTGTCAGGAAAAGTGCACACGTCATACGAAATATCTTTTACAACTCACTCCCACATTAAACTGCAAAGTTGTCCACTGAAGTCACAAACTTAAGCTAACAGCACAAGCATTGATGACAGAATATATATCACGCTACACTACTGAGGCGCCACTAGTTGCCATGCAACCAGCTTTCTCCAAGTTGTCATTCCTAACCTGTCAAATGCTCATTAAAGGAACTGCAATTCACCTTTTGTCAAGACCCGCCCATGGTCCCACCCTCTTTGGTTACTGTTGCTGGGTTCAACAAAACTGGTCTCGCTGGGGTTTATTCCCATAGAAAACAATGGAAAATACCAGGAGATTTAACTTTCTCGTAATTCGAATTGAATCGATCATTCTGTCCAAAACGTGGTGTCAGTGATAGAGAACAAATGTGGCTACAGTTGAGTGAATGGGCATTACATGACATATCCGAAAACTGGTAAAAATCGTTGTTTTGTCCCGATGTCTGATGGTAGCCATGGCCACTAACGTGAGCTGTCCTTCCGCGGTTGCTAGCTCTCTTGCCCGACGTTAACGTTATATTGAGAGTGTTTACAAGTTTAACACCACAGTAATTTTTAGCTGACGTATGAATAGCAATGTTGTCCTCTACAAAAGTTAATATTGCCAGCAAGTTAACGTTTAATACG